TACGTCTTCTTTGGAAAAATATCTGGTCAAGTCCTTTGACCATTTTTCAATCAAGTTATTCGTTTGTCCACTATTTAGTTGTATGCATTACTTATAAATTTGGGGTATTAATCCCATATGATATTTATGATTTGCAATTTTTTCTACAGTTTACAGTTTTCAGTTTAATTTATTGATTGTTTACTTTGCTGTGCAGAGCTTTTTTAGTTTGATATAGTCCCATTCATTTATTTTTGCTTTTGTAGCCTGACCTTTTGATGTGATATTTAAAAAATCATTGCCAAGGCCGATGTCAAAGAGTTTTTCCTGCATGTTCTCTTGTAGGATTTTTGTGGTTTCAGGTCTTATGCTTAGGTCTTTTATCCATTTTGAGTTTATTTTTCTGTATGATATAAGACAAAGGTCCAATGTCATTTTCTTTTTCATATAAAAATTTAATTTTTCCAGCACTATTTATTGAAGAGACTAGTCTTTTCCCATTGTGTCCTCTTGGTGCCCTTGTTGAAAATCAGTTGACTGTATACATTTGGATTTATTTCTTGGCTCTCTACTCTGTTCCACTGGTCTATGTGTCTGTTTTTATGTCAGCACCACACTGTTTTGATTACTGTAGCTTTGTAATATAATTTTAAATTGGGAACTAAATAGGTTAGGACAAATTCCTACGTTAAATATCTACCCCTGTAGGCAGGCTTTAAATGAGAGCAATGTATTTGGATGGTTTTTTAAAAAATCATAATTACATCACAAAAAGAGAGGAGTCAGAGAGATGTAAGTTGAGGAACATTTGAAATCTATTCCACTGTACAACAGATTGTTAGTATGATTTTGTAAAGAAGTTTAAATTAAGTATTTCATTCTACCTTATTGAGTAATGATACCATTTTTGAGAAAAACCAATGAAAGCTATTTTTATCAAAAGTGGATTTAAGCATTCTATATAACAATAAATGCAAAGATGTATCAATAATTCCAAAAATTTAACAGCTCATCAATAGAATCACCCATTTTGTCTGACGATAATTAGATAATTTTCTCACCTCAACAAAGCCAATGCAAGATTTAGATTTTGTTATTGCACTTTTTGTTTTATAATTTTTATATGTGATATAAAATGTGCTATATATTCTATCTCAATATATTAGATAATTAGATAATTTTCTCACCTCAACAAAGCCAATGCAAGATTTAGATTTTGTTATTGCATTTTTTGTTTTATAATTTTTATATGTGATATAAAATGTGCTATATATTCTATCTCAATATATTCTAAAGAATAAGAGATACATATGCTTCTAATGAATGCTATATCTAGACATTCTATATGAATTTGAATAAGCTTTCCAAACCCCCACCTGTGCTGATGCAGCCCCTGCTTCTTCCTGTCTGTGATTAAGTCTCTCCCCTAGGGTTGAGGTTTTTGCAAGGCTCCCACAGGCACCTATCTCACTGTGGCCTCTCTCAGAGCACAGAAATACACTGCTGAGTCTGTGAGCTGTGAGGCTGTGATGGTGAGGCTGATGGAATTGGCTGATTTCTGGAAGTTCACAGAATACCGACCATTTGTTTCATTTTGCTCAGTATAAGAGTCCTGACGAATGAGGAACCGTATTTCTCCACTTGCTGGTTGTTTGTACCAGAATAAATGATATGTAGTATCACGGGATTCATACACACAGTTCAAGGTCACAGCCTCCTGCTCCACCACAGAAATTGCACTCTGAGTTTGAGTTACCTTCTGGGCCTTGCTGGATCCTGCAAGAAAGACGAAAGGAATAGAGTGATCTTTTATTTGTAACTTTGGGGGCATAAGGAATGCAGTGGCTTAGGAACCCAGTGCTCTGATTCTATTGCCCATTATATCTCCCTTCTAAGCCCCATCAAACAACAGTGATCTGCCTCTCTCTGCAACTTTCAGACCTGAGGAAAGCCAAAGTCCCATGTTTGTGGCCATTCTTACCAAAACAGATGGCGGCTATGACTGCCCTCAGCAGACTGGTGATCAGCATATTGGTAGATGTTCTCCTGAGTGAAATCTTCTATTCTTTCTCAAATCCACCCTGTGCTCAAGAGGTACAAGCAAAGTTACCAGACAGTGTGATGCTTCTGCCCCATACAGGAAACACAGCAGATATAGGATGAGTTTGCCTGGGTCATATCACATGATTCTTGAATAGGTGGGAGAGGATAGACTTTCCTGAACACCTGTTTTGTCTCATTATAACTTATCACACTGGAAATAAATATTGGCAAATTGGATCCTGTTTAGTCAATACTTCTTTGATGGAAAATGTAGGACTTTAATAGAATACAGTTTATTATGAACTACAGTGAATATGTGGGATAACATAATTATGCACCTTTTGGCTTTATATATACTTCTTTTCTTCAGACACAATCAAAGTGAAAAGAATAACAAAATTTTGACTCTCTATCAGGAAGGCAAAACTTTTAGTCTCAGTCTTTGTTTCTACCTTGCTAGTTATGGAATTCAGCAAACATTACATAAGAAACATTTTACTGTTAATGAATGATTTCACATCATGCCTTCTGAGTCACAAAATATGTCAAGTGTGTATGCCATGTCAAGTAACAGCAGGGAAAAAATACATACAGATATATTTTCACACACATTTTACATGCGTGTGTGCAAGAGAGTATATGTAAACAAAAATACATTCAGAAAATTCTACCTAGTGCTGAAGTACAGGAATTTCTGTTTTAACTCAATATGTGTGTTCCTGAAATTTCTGCTCTTCCAAACCACACACATTAATTATGGTGGAATTTAGGATAAGGAAACCCCCCAAAACACACAACTCTGTAGCCAAAGAATTATTAAAAACAGTAGAAATCCTATTGAAAATACCAGTAGAGTTTAGTCTCTATTGCCATTTCCCCCTTGCATCACAGTGAGAAAACTCTTCACAGCCTTAAATATTGGGTCTACGGTTCAATCCTATAGATATAGGTCCATAAGTTTATGTATTTCCAATAAAACCAGGTTCATGAACATTTTAAATATTATTATCCCTCATAAATCAATATTTTTAACATTATAGGTGGGGATATCTTTAAACCTATTTTATAGCTACTGTAATCAAGAAAGTGTGATATTAGTGAAAGAATAGACAGATAGATCAATGGAACAGAATAGAGAACCCAGAAATAGACCCACATAAATATAGTGACCTGATCTCTGATTTTTTTTTTAGAGCAGTTTTAGGTTCATAGCAAAACTGAACAATTGAGTGGAAGCTACAGAGATTTCCTATATACCCTGTCCCCACACATTTGCAGATCCCCATTCTCAGTATTCTGCACAAGAGTGGTACATTTGTTATAATTAATTAGCTACATTAGCACACCGATATTACCCAGAGTCCATAGTTTACATTAGGATTCACTCTAGGTGTTGTACAGTCTATGGGTTTGGATTAATGTATAACAACATGAACTATACATATTATTTTCACTGCCCTAGAAAGGATAATGTTTAGGTGACAGATATGCTAACTATTCTGATTAGATTATTATACAACATATACGCGCACTGAAACAACAAGCTGTATCCAATAAACATGTAAATGAAGAAAATAAATTAAAAAATGTATTTCTTATAAAAAAGAGTTATATTTTAATACATGTATACATGTGTGATGATCAAATCAGGGTAATTAGCATATTCATCATTGCAAAAATTTATAATTTCTTTGTTATGAATACATTTGACCTTCTCTCTTCTGGCCATGTGAGAACATACAATCAGTTATTGTTAAGTATAGATGCCTAATGAAAAGTTTGGTTTAAAAAGTTCTAAGATCTTCTCTATATCTAATGCCTGATAAGTCTACTATTTCCTATACGGGAATTAGAGGAATGTAAGAATTACCTTGTGCATCTCAAAGACCTACCTAATTCTTAGGGTGGGGAGAGGGCTGCACGTAGGACAGATGAGACCTTTTAATAACTGAGCAGTTTTTCCTCATCCTCCCCAGTGTCTAGAGCTTACTTTTATTTCTGATAAAATTAGAGTTTGAGGAATATTTTGGGCTCATTGATCCAAATCCTTCATTTCGAATGAAGAAATTGAAGACTGCTACACTGATGATAGGCCTAATGATAGAACCAGGATTGGCAGATCTGAAGCTGGCATTTCAGATTCCCATTCCAAATCCCATGCTCTTTGCCCTAATCCAAGATGCTTCCCCCTGAAAAAAAATTTTTTTTTCACTCTCATGTTGCCAGCTGTTTCTAGATTCTCCTGCACGGGAAGACAAAGCCACCAACTCTACCCACTGCTAGTCCTTTTAAGAGGCAGCTCTGGCAGGGTTTGTGTAGGGGTTGCAGGTGCCTGGTGAACATCGTGCATTTATAGCACAGAAGTAAGCAGCTGTGTCTGCAGCCTGGGAAGACATGATGGACAGGGAACTGCTTTTGGCAGAGGTGTCAAGCGTGGCTCTTAGTCTTCCACTGTGTTTCTCTCTTTCATTTGAACGTATTAGAATTAGCAGGACAGGGCCTCTTCCTGAATCTTGTCTATACCATTGTAAGTTGTTTATACTTGTTTTATAACTGCAGCTCATGGTGGCATTGTCACCCTCCTGGATGCTCAGGATCTGAGGATTCTCTTCTCCTTGTTGGCTGTTCACCCCTAGGCAGAAACACAGGCCGGAGACCAGGAGTCAGTCATTACATGTTCAAATTACATTCTCAAATTAACAAGAAGACTTTACCCCTCAGTTTTGTGGACTCTGAACTTTGGGGTCCCTGTTCCCATTACCAGTTGCCCCAACTTACTGGCCAATTGAAGCCACAGAATCACCAAAGCCCTTTCCAGGAGGTTCTCCATTCTTCCTTGTTGAGATCACAGCTCTGGGGCCTGAAATGGAGCCAGATTCCTCAGTCAAAAGAGCTAGTCCTTCTGCCTCCCAGTGTCTCAGATTTCCTACCTAGCCAGTCAGAGGCGAGCTCAAGCCTTTGCTCTGAGCACACCCACATGCTGATGTAAAACCAAGTGAGTCCGCGAGAGGGCGCACTGCCATCCTGTGGTGGCCACATCCTCCTGCTGGTGGAATGTGCTCTGGAGTAGGGAGGATGCCCAGAGCTGATTCAGAAGAAATGACAAAGCTGCTCCTTTCTCTGCCTTTATCGAACTCTAGTTCTGGCTAATAGTAAGAACAGATAAAGTTTAATTCAGATAATAACGCCAAGAAGAATGTTGGCACCCACATTTACAGAATACATCTGAGAAGCACTGTTACGTTTTCTACAGTTACTGCAACCTCTAATAATATATCTATGAGCATCCTTTTTTTAAAAAAAAAAAATTACCCAGTGCTGGAATGAGATTATAAAGAAGTCATGGTTCTTACTGGTGAGCAACAGAAACTGACTCTGGCTGAATTAAGCATAAAAGGAAAAAAATAATGAATATTTGGTTTGCTTCATAATTTGCAATAGAGTCAGAGAACTGGACTCAAAATCTGTCAAGTCAGGAACCAGAAAATCACTCTGGAGAACTATTCCTGTGCGTATCCCACTGGGTCCTGTTCTGAGCTCCAGACACTGAAGGCTGTGCCTGAAAGGCTGCTCATACAGAACTATGTATGCAGCTGCAATTTCACTGCCCTGCTGCCCTGCAAACTCTCATTTCCGGCTCGTTGCAATGACCACCACTCCCCAAAAAAGAAACTCCTAATCTTTCCTATTTTGCATAAGTAAGTCCTGAGTCAAAGTTCAGGAATGATGTACCTAATTGTTGGAGCCCAAGTCATGTGCCCACTGCTACCTTTACAGAGGGATGATATGAGTGTATTAGTTTGATAAGGCTGCCGTAACAAATACCAAATTGGGTGGCTTAAACAACAGGATATTGTGTTAGACGGTTAGGTAAAAATCAGAGAGAACACAATGGCCCTTCTCTGAAGCATTCAGCCCAATAGGAAGAAGAGGCAGAAAAAGTTTTTATGCATGTAGTAGGAGTCAGGATTAAAAATATATGTATTGCATAGTCCTTAGAAAGGAGGTGAGGGTGTAGCTCTGTAAGTCATGAGATGCTGAAACTATAAGGAGCCATTTGAGCTGAAAATTGAACTATCAGATCACTAGGTAAAACAATTAATGCCTCCCCCCAAAATGCCCCCCAAATTCAAGGTTTTGTCACTTCAGTGTATTTTCACCCACAGAATGTGGACATATTTTCCCCAAGGTGAAAGACAAGTTGCTGTGCCCCACAACACCTACCACAGAGAGGGCCGCAACACTTGGTAGAACATTTCGAATTTTTGAGGAAACACATGCCACAGGTCGATGTGCTACTATGACCTATTTATGGAGTCACCTGTAAATCTGCCAGAGCAGCAGGAGGCTCTACAGCAAGTGCAGGCATCAGTGCAATCTCCTACTGCACTGGTCTCGTGACCCACCACATCCAGCAATGATACTTGAAGTCCCCATGATAAATAGAAATGCTGGGTGGAGATTATGGGAAGCACAAATGGAAAAATCACAGCATAGTCTCCTATACTTGGGGTGGATATATTCCCTTATCTTCAAATAACTGTTCTTTTGAGAAACAGCTTCTGGCTTGGTAATTGTCCTTGGTAAAGTCTGAATATCTAACTTAAGAAAATTAGTGACCATACACACTGAACTTTTACTATGAACTGAGCGTTGTTTGGCCTACTTAGCCGTGCTGTTGGGCATGTCTAGGAGCAATCTATCATGAAGTGGAAATGGTAAATAAGAGATCACATCAGCAGATCCAGAATGTACACTTAGTTGCATGAGAAGGTGGCTCAGATTCCTTGGACACCAAATATTCTTGTATTGTCACCTCTCCATTAATTCATGCCTATAGTCTCTGGGGAGTTCCTTACAACTAATTGACTGAAGAACAACAACAAAAAAATAAAGCCTACTTTTTATATGGATTTGCACATTATACTGTCACCACACAAAACTAGCTCTGCAATCCCACGGAAGAACAATGGTGAAAGAAAATCCCTCCAATGGGCAAAATTTTAAGTGATATATTTTGGTTGTCCACATTATCTAGAGTGAGGTGGCCAGAAGTGCTGATCTACATTGGTTCATGGGCAGCTGCTAATGGTTTTGTTGGATGGTAAGAGACTTGGAAGAAACAGAATTGGAAGACTGATTGATTACAAGGAAATCTAGGGAGAAGGCATGTGAATGTACCTCTCAGGATGGGCACAGACTATCAAGATAATTATGCTCCATGTGAATATTGACCAAGGGAAAACCACTTCAGTGGAAGCTCTTATAATGAACAAAATGATGCACTCTATGGCTATATCAACATACTCCTCCACCCACCCCTGTGCTTGCTCAATGATCTCATGAACAAAATGGCATTGTTGGCAGGAATGAAAGTTATGCATGACCTCAACAGCATAGAGTTTCACTTATCAAGGCTGACCTAGCTAATGTTACTGCTGAGTGCCTAATCTGTCAACCACAGAAACTAATCCTGAGCTCCTCATGTGATGTCACTCCTCAGGAGGAATGGCCAGAAATCTGGTGAAATGTTGGGTGCATTGAACCTCTTCCATCATGAACTTGGCTGAGATTTGTCCTCACTGGAATAGACATATACACTTGCATATGGATCCATATGGATTTTTCTTCCTTCCTTACAAGGCTTCTGCTGGCATCATCATGAACTCACAGAATGGCTAATCTACCAAATATTCCCATGGTGTGTCTTCTGAGAACAAAACTATTTGCACTGCAAAGGATTACAGCATTGGCATATACCCATGGAATTATTTAGTCTTAACACATACCCCATCATTCACAAGTGGCCAGCCCGTTGAAATGTGCAATGTCTTATTGATTCAGTTATGGCACCAACTTGAAAACATCCTGAAAAGGTAAGGTTCTGTCTTGTAAGATGTACTATATTCTTTATATGAGAGACCATTATGAGGTGTTGTCTCCTCCGCAGCCAGAACGCATGGGTCCAGGCATCAAGGAAGTGGGCTGCGAGTGGATCTTCTCACTATTATTACCAGTAATCTAGTAGCAGAATTTCTGCTTTCTGTATTTGTAACTTTGAGCTGTGTTGCTTTGGAGGTCTTATTCTCTAAAAGGAGGAATTCTTCCACCAGGAGACACAACAACGGTTCCACTGAACTGGAAGATTAAACTGCCATGTGGCCATTTGGGGCTTCATAGGTCTCTGAACCAACAAGTCAAAAAAGAGGTTACTCTACAGGCTGGACTGATACCAATTTCCAGCGGGGAGTTGGGTGACTGCTACACAGTATGTACAAAGAGGATTATGTCCAGAATCCAGGGATTTTCTGGTGAGCCTCTTGGTGCTTTCATACCCCAAAGTAAAGGTTAATGAAAAACTGTGGCAACAAATAAAAAGGCAGGATTACTGAGAACTCAGAACCTTTGAGAATGAAGATTTGGGTCACTCCACCAGGTAAATAATCCCAGTCCACTGAGGTCAAGGCTGAGAACAGACAAAATATAAGACGGGTAATAAAAAAGAAGCTGTCTGTTTCAATTTCAGCCTCATAACCAAATTTGGAATCAAGAAATGTAGTAGCATTTTATATTTTCTATTGGTCTTTATATGTATGTGTTCCTTTGTACATGCTACCATTTTCTTCTCTTTCTTTCACACCATACGAGGAGGTCAGTCTCTCTGCTGTCTGTACTCTACCTCTGCATTGCTATAAAGCAACCACCAAAGAAGACTCCCCAGATGTATTCTCTGGACTTTGGACTTCCTAGGCTCAGAAACTGTAAGCAATAAATTTCGTTTTTCTTATAAATCACCCAGTTCTGGGTATTTTGTTATAAGCAACAGAAATGGACTAAGACACATAATTATTTTATATACAAATTGTTGAAGATTAACTTTATTAACTTTATTTAGTCTGTACATAATAGCATAAACAACAAAACTTCCTCTGAATTTTAGAAGTGATTAATATACCCAGAGATTCATAGACCGACTTTGAGGACTATAGGCCTCCTCATTTTGGTAAAAGGATGAGAACTTCCTCACTTGTTCAAAGAACATCTTTGGCTTGTTGGGTGGAAACAGAGTCATTTTATTGTTGTTTGGAAGTTCAAACATGTGTAGAGTATACCTGTGAAAGATCATAGTCAGAGGGATAGGGTGTGCCAGTTATCACTTTATTGGTTCTTAGCTCCAAATCCACACTTCATTGCCCAATTTGTGATCCTGGATCTAGACCCTATAGACCTAGAATCTGAATCTAGAGCCTGAAACATTTCCCCTTTGTCAGCTAGCATGATATGATCTTTGTCAGTAGAGTGTACTACAAGGACGTTGCAGGAGGAAGAGGCTCTTCCTGGTTCAGGTATGTTTTCTGCACTTCTTGTCCTGCACTGCTTGACTGACCTGTGGGACACCCAGTGACACTCACCTCCAGCAAGGTTCAGTGACAGCTCCACAGGTAATTTCTTGGCAGGTTTCATGAGAACCCCACGCAAGTTCAGCAGCACTTCTGTGCTGGCTTCATGTAAATTTTGCTGGAATTCTGGTAGGTGTTTTCCCCCTTGGCAACCTGTTTCTCTGGCACTCAGCAAACTTATCCAGCAGGCTACAGCAAAACACTCTCAACAAGGTGTGGCCGTGGGACACCCAGTGAGACTCACCTCCAGCAAGGTTCAGTGACAGCCCCACAGGTAATTTCTTGGCAGGTTTCATGAGAATCCCATGCAAGTTCAGCAGCACTTCTGTGCTGGCTTCATGTAAATTTTGCTGGAATTCTGGTAGGTGTTTTCCTCCTTGGCAAGCTATTTCTCTGGCACTCAGCAAACTTATCCAGCAGGCTACAGCAA